GATTACCCTTCAGATATGTTAGGCTGCATTGCTACCAATATCATCTCCAAGGCTATGAGTTGTTATTATTGATCATTCAAGTGTTGCTCTTACTCATCAAGTCTTTGTTGTTGTTGCTAAACTATTGCTTCATATTCTGCATTTTTCATTGGAGGAGATTTGAGTGGATTACTGAAGAACTTTGATGACAACACAAATTTACCAACTTCATGAACTCGATAATGTCTTTCTTTCGATCCTAATGCTAAAGACAAGGCATTTTTGTCATAACCAATTGACAGTTCACCAATTCAAATTTAGTAACAAATTCATTTTGAAACATAATAAGATGGTGCGTAACAACAAAGTTATACAATATATAGTCATGCATACAAACACAAAACCAGTCATATATGATAAATTAATCAATTATACATACGATCTTTTTAGCTTTTTTTTGTTGCTTTATCTGCAAATGATCCATCCTTTTGCATATGTCCTTATTTTTATACATCCCATATAGGAACTTTGGTTTCAGAGCTAGATGATTCATGATAAATTAAGGTGATATAAAAATTATAATCCATTAACCGAATATTCATAAATATTTATATATGAGTATAAACAAGCATGTGAATACTTATAAGATCATGTTAAACATTTGCATAACCTTTTCTCGATGTGCGATGGTGACATACTTATTTAATCCGAATGTTCTTTTATTGTTTTTTGATTTTTTGAAAAAAAAAAGAAATAAAATAAATCACATATTAAGATATCAAATATATTACACAAAATTTTATAAACAATTAACATAATGGGTATGCATACTGAGAATTCTTTTAATAGATAATCTCAAATAAAATACGTCCACTCTTGATGACTGATAACATTTGTATATGATGATGGAGGATTAGCCAACAAATCACTATTAACAATGAATGATAAAAAATATTAAGTTGTCAACCTACTCTTAAAGTCTCTAAATGCTTTACTAATCAATTGTAACATAAACTTTTTATATTCAGTTGGGACGTCAAATCATTCCTAATAAATTTAAAATAATTAGTATGAACACATTATTTTAATTAAATTTTCAACCAAAAATAATTTTTTGGATATTATTGAATAAACATATCACAACTGACTCTTATATACGATCATTTTGATCATCAGAAACTCGTCGTTAATTATGATATGTAATAGAAATACTATGGACGACTGCTCTAATGTAACTAGCCAATTTGGTAACTTTATCTTACACAAGCTGCCCATTTTGATTGAAATCGATGTGAATTTTTGTGTCATTCGCTTTAATTTGTTTATCACACCCTCTTGCTTTTCTTTTTTTTTTTATTATGGGTATGTCTTCTCCATGTTCAGTAGCATGAGACACATGCTCTTCGAATTCTATAATATGAAATATACCAAACTGTCTCTTTAAATATCACATAGTAAAAAACAACCAATATCCACTATAGTTACTAGACTAATATACATAAAATATCTTACAATCAATAATATTTTACGGATACAAGCCATTTTGTGATTCCTATCTTAAATAAAAGTTCTATGTAAAACAAATGATGAGTACAAATATAATAATTAATCTTCACAAAATCATTCAGCAAACCACAATACTTAAACCAAACAATAAAGAAACACTATGCATGCAGTGAAAGGCGATTAGGCGAAGTAAATGACGATGGAATATGCATAAAATATATATAGTAGGAAAAGAAAAAAAATACTTATATAAAATAATATAAATAGTACAAAAAAATACGCACATATTGGTAAAAAAGAGGTGCGACGACATTAAGTGGTTGACAATCGGTGATGATGAGAGAGATGAAAAAACCCAAAGGCAAACTACATGGGTTGATGGTTTAGAGTTTACATGCAATGCAGCTTTTTATTGTTCATTGTATTAGCTGTTTAGTTTTTCAAGGTTCAAGAATAGGAAAAAAACTTTTAAAAATGATCATTTGAGTCGTTTGTTTATAGAAACACCTTGGATCATCCATTTATATTTTAATAAAAATATTATTTCAGGCATTTGTGTATGAAAAACATCTTAAATAATCATGTTATTTTTTTTAAATGGATTATTTAAGGTGTTTCTAAATGAAAAATACCTTAGATAATTCCTTTTAAAAAATATAATAAGATTATTTAAGGTATTTTTTAACAAAAACGTCATAAATAATCTCCTTTTAAAAATATCACAAGATTATTTAAGGCATTTCTATTTGAAAATACTTTCAATAATCATTTTTAAAAAAATATCATGGAATTATTTAAAGTGTTACGCCTTAAATAATCCCCTTTAAAAAATATCATAGGATTATTTAAAGTATTTCTAATTGAAAAACACTTTAAATAATCTTCTTATAAAAAATTATCCAAAGTTATTTAAGATATTTTTCAACCATAAACGCCTTAAATAATCTCTAACAAAAAAAAATAGAACATGATTATTTAAGGAGTTTTTAGTTAGAAAACGCTTTAAATAATCTTAATTATTTTTTAAATGGGGATTATTTAAGGTTTTTTTCAAGCAAAAATCCTTTAAATAATCCCCAAAGAAAAAATAGAGCAAAATTATTTAAAGTATTTTTTGTTGAAAAATGCTTTAAATAATTTTCATATAAAAAATATTCAAAATTATTTAAGATTTTTTCAACTAACAATATCTTAAAGAATCTTTTAATTTATTTATAAAAAGATTATTTAAGGTATTTTCTGTATAAAAATACTTTCAATGATCTTTTTATAAATAAATAAAAGAAAATTTTATTATTTTTTTAATGATATAAAAAAGTGGCTAACGCATTAATTTATTTTTTTTTTTATAAAAATTTTCTCTATCAATTTTTGTTACTTAAAAAAAGTGTTAAACATCTTAATTGATAATATTTTAAAATAAAAATAAAATCAAATAAACTATTTATCTATTTTTACTGCTAAAAATATCATTTATAATTTGGATATTTATTATTAATAAAAATTAATAAAAAAATATTATCATATATATAAAAAAAATTATGATAATTATTTAAAAATTAATATATATAAATTTTTTTAATCAAATGAACGAATCTAAATATAAAATATTTTAAAATAAAAAAAATCGAATATCATTCCTTTTTGGTGATCGTACTTTTTCTGAAAATTTAAGATTTCATATACCAGAACGGTTCTCATTGCTAAAGGATTAAAAAGTTAAACAAAGTGTAATGCAGACGTAAATCCGCTAAATTATGTTACATGATATTTGGATATTTCTGGCTTGATTCTTCTTGAGGTCTGTGCACGTGTGACCTCACAAGAATTATAAACCAAAAAAAAAAAAAAAAAAGGGGGTTAGGATTGCAAAAATGTCTTAGGGAGGGACAATCAGTCAACAAAAGCTACTCTTTAATGATGTTACCATGACGTACTGTTCTCTTTTTTTTTTTTTTTTAATTAAAACATGTCAAAGCTATATCTTTGTCCATTGGGAAAAATAAATTAATTCACCGAAAAAGGAAGAAGAAAATGATTTTGAACGCCACTCGATTCAAATGTTGATCTTAAAGCAATAATCAATTCGACAATGTACTTGATTCTTGTTCCTATCTGTACTACTGCCCTTTGTAAAATGCTATGTATTTACCTTTGAATTCACTTTATTTTTATTTTTAAATATGGGTTTACTATCTCTTAAACATAACCATTTCTATAAACAAAGATTCGTTTAAGGTTTAGTTTAGCATTATTGTTATGATTGAAAAAAAAAATGTATTTGAAAAGTGTTATAAAAAATTATTGTAAAAAATTATGATTTAAGAATTTTAACTATTTGATATTATTATGAAAAATTAAAATATTTAAAAATATATGATGTTTGAAATGAAATATAAATTATTTTTATAAAAAATAAATAATTAAATAAATATTTGATAATTTTATTTTTAAATTATAACTATATTTTTAATTAATTTTTACAGTTGAGTCACTTTTAATAATAAAAAAAACTTTAACATAAATATAATGTATTTATTATTTCTTTTACGTTCAAAAAATACAAAGCTAACTACAATTGTGATGGAAATTTCAGATGATAAATGTCAGCTGGAATCACAAATCGAATGAAGTAAGGCCAAGTCTGCCAAGTTCTCAGCGCCCTTTCCGCCAATGTCCAAATTTTGTTGTGCATTTATTGGAATTCAATGTTGATTTTTTTTTCCAACTTCTAAGGCGCAATTTAAAATCCATAAGATGTAGCTTTCCTTTTCAATATGTTTTTTTGTCTAAATTTTTTCTTGTGTTCCTATTAGTCTTTCCAACTTCTCTATCATTAATTATCATTACAATATAGACCGTTATTTTTACCAAAATTTCATTTTTGACCTTCTCAACCAATGTGCTTTTCATATGAAACCCTAATGTAAGGATTAAAGAAAAAATTACAAGCAGCTGAATGTCAAGTTATAAATGATTATATAAAATAATTAAATTAAAATTAAAATTTATTTTATATATTTCTTGAATATTAATAAAAATAAAAATTCATGATAATTGAACTATGTGCATATATTTATTACGGATATGCATGGGAAGTGGGTAACATTAGGTAAAAATTTATCTCCCGGACATTGTTATATCTATGGGCAATTATCCAGCTTAACTTATTATCTTTGCAGGAGTCATTTTTATCTTTGTTTTTAGTTACTTTAATCAATTACGAGAATTAAGCCAAAAGGTTTTATCTTCTAGACATTGTTATCTTTGTTTCAATGGAGCTCACCACAAAAAGATCACATTGTAGGGTTTACCGAAATTTACTTCTGTCGCAGCAGCCAAATCATGGTAGCAGGGGAGGGCAGTTTTGGAATGGAAAGTATCAAAGAGAAAGAGTGGATTGACATTTTTGTCCCTTTAAACCACCTTTGCCTCCATACTTCAACTTCACACATGCAAATTAAATCAATAAATAACACTTTTCTCTTTCTTTTTTGGCAAAAAAAAATCTTTTTTTAAGTATTTGGTTTCAGTTGTCACAAACTTTCCATTTTTTTTAAAGAGAAAATCATGAACTAAATGAAACAAACCCAGAAAACAGAGAAACGAGAATTTTCTCGAGGAAAAGTAGTTTTCATAGGATAAACGATCTCTTTCTGGGTCACCGTTTTTTCTGGGTTTTTTGGTAAGTCCAAAGCTCTGCTCTCTTTGTTCGTCTCGCCATTGTCATTTCCTGTGAACTTTGTTCTTCTTCTCTTTAAATGCGGCTTGTCTTCTTTGTGTTGTTTTCCTATAACTTACTCTTTGTCCCCGTCCTAAATATTTTGCCTCTTTTTTTTTTTTTTCTTTTGAGCTCGATGATTTTTATGACTGATTGTTGCTGTAATTGGTACCTGTTTGTGGATTTCCGTTTCTGTTTTATTATCTTGTAACTGTTTCGTAACAGATTTCCATATCGGTTTAACTTCAATTCCATCGGTTTTTTTTTTTTTTTTTTTGCAAAAACAATAAGATTGTGATGGTTCAAATTCAAAATTTTCCAGGTTTTGACATCCAAATTGTTGGCTTTTTGTTTCTTTGGAGAAGATGTTGTGTGCTTGCTCAGGTGAACAATTCAAGTTTGAAGATGCTCCACAGTCACCGGAATCATTGGCGACCAGAGATTTCTCGGCCAGTGGACTCTCATCTCGGACCGGAGACTGGGAGTCAAAACTTGAGGATGTTCAAGTGGATGAAGTTGAATCTACTCTCAAAGAAGCTCTCTCCTTAAACTATGAGGTGGGTTATTTTTGCCAAATCAATCTATTAATTTATTGATCATTTGCAGTTAATTAGTTTTGCTTTTTGATTGAGTTTGCAGGAAGCAAGGGCATTGTTGGGGAGGCTAGAGTATCAACGAGGGAATTTTAATGCTGCGCTTCAGGTTTTTCAGGGTATTGACATTAAAGGTTTGGCACCAAGGATGACTATGGCTATTGTTGAGAGAACCCGACAACGTAAACCACGGTCCAAAGGTGACATTATCCCGCCTAGTGTGATGTCAATGCATTCAGTGAGCTTACTTATGGAAGCAATTTTACTGAAAGCAAAATCGTTGGAGGAACTTGGGCATTTTAGAGGTATTTCCGTTTTCTCTCTCCTGGGAACTTGTTAATGGGTTTGCTTTACAATTGACAAGAAATTATTTTGTGGTTTTGCCTAATCAGTTTTAGAGGTAACTGATCTTTTAAACTTCTGATTCTTTTGAGGATATGTCTGGATTAAGATGAACAAGCCTTTTAATATAGTTTGATTGTAACAATGAAACTTTAAGTATCGGATGTTTAAAATTGATTGAAAATTCAAGTTTTATTATTGAAGATCAAGAATTGTGTAGATGGCATTGCCCTCGTTGGATGGTTTAGAATGAATTCCGTAATTGGTGTGTAAGTTTTAAATGGTTCTGATGCTTTTTCATTTATCAGAGGCTGCAAAGGAGTGCAAAATAATTTTGGATGTAGTTGAGGCGGCACTACCTAGTGGAATGCATGAGGGAACTGGTGAAGATTGCAAGTTAAAGGAGATGTTTCACAAAGCATTAGAGTTGCTCCCTAATCTATGGATCAACGCAGGCTTTCTCAATGAAGCTATAACTGCATTTCGCCGGGCTTTAGTCAAGCCATGGAATTTGGATCCCCAGAGGTTAGCAAGTGTACAAAAAGACTTAGCTGCCGCGTTACTTTTTGGTGGTGTTGAAACAAGTCTCGCTTCTCACTTACAGGTATGGGGTTCAACTACCCCTAATGGTAATATGGAGGAAGCAATTCTTCTCCTTCTAGTACTTATGCAAAAAGTGGCATTTGGAGAAATAAAGTGGGATGCAGAAATTGTGGATCACCTGACTTTTGCTCTCTCAGTTACTGGGCAGTTTGAATTACTATCAGGTCATATGGAGCAGGCCCTTCCAGGTATATATGAAAGAGCAGAGAGGTGGTACCTTCTTGCTCTTTGTTATGCTGCTGCTGGTCAGAATGAGGTAGCATTGAACTTATTAAAGAAGGTTTCTGGCCAGTCCGAAGCAAAGCACAAACTTCATATCCCTGCTCTACTGTTTGGTGCAAAGTTGTCTTCTCAAGATCCAAAGCATGCTTATTACGGAATAACTTTTGCTCGTAATGTGATTGATTTGTCAGATCAAGGGAATGAACATTTCAAGGGTCAAGCCCATAAGTTCCTTGGTGTTTGCTATGGAAATGCTGCTAGAATTTCCGTATCTGATTCTGAAAGAGCTCTCTTTCAGAAAGAATCCTTGACCTCTCTTAACTCTGCTGCTCTCTATATGAAGGAAGATCCTGAGGTGATGTTTAACCTCAGCTTTGAAAATGCAGTTCAGAGGAATTTGGATGTGGCCTTTGACAATGCAATGACGTACACTAACATGGTGACTGAAACTCAGGAAGAGGTTGGAGGCTATTAGCACTAATACTTTCTGCAGACCAGCGGTTCAAAGATGCTGAAACCATACTTGAGTTCGCTTTAGATGAAGCTGGTAGGTTGGATCAGTTAAAACTTCTTAGACTAAAAGCTGTGCTTCGGACTGCTCAGGAACTGCCCAAGCAAGCAATTGAAACTTACCGAATCCTGCTATCTCTGATTCAAGCACAAAGAGAACTCCAGCCTAATAACTCTGTTCATGTAAAGAGTTCTGATTCAGAGGTACAAGTTCTTTGGCCTTAAACAGCAGTATGGACCTACATCTCATGCATGTGCAGATTATAATTGTAATTAACTTAAAATATTTACTAATTTGACGATCTTTTTTTAGCAAGATGAGTTCATTGCATTCCCTTTTCCAGTGAGAGAAAATGTGAAAACTTACATTTGGTGAAAAAGAAAAGCAAAATGTTTTTCATCCTGTTCATATCTTATATCTTTTGCAGAATGTAGCGGAAAGAAATATGGAAATGGCTGTCTGGCAGGATCTAGCTACTATTTACACCAAATTTGGTTCGTGGGCCGATGCAGAAATTTGTGTAAACAAAGCCAAGTCAATTGAATTTTGTTCACCCAAAAGTTGGCATACAACGGGTAGAAATGCCATAAAACGCTGCGTGATTGTTATAAAACCAACAATGGCACTTCCATTCTAATTTCCAAGGTGTATTTGCAGGCTTATTATTTGAAGCTCAATCACTTTATAAACAAGCCCTGGTATCCTTCTCAGTCTCACTGTCAATAGAACCAGATTATGTGCCCAGCATTGTCTCAACTGCAGCGGTACTCACAAAACTTGGCAGCCAATCATTCCCAATCGCAAGAAGTTTTCTGATGAATGCTCTTCGGTTAGATCCCACAAATCACGATGCATGGAGGAACCTGGGATTGATTGCAAAGAAGGAAGGCTCATTACAACAAGCAGCAGACTACCTTCAAGCAGCCTATGAGCTGAAGCTATCAGCTCCTGTTGAGGCCTTTACATGCTGGTGGAATTTAATTAGTTATCACTTAGTAGGCTTTCTAGAATGAGGAATTTGAAGTCAATTTTGCTGGCTCTACTCACTGTCATTCAGCAACCGATGTCCTATTAAAATGTATAGCAAGCTCCTACTCTTCGGCTTCAATTTTTTCTGTTAATATCAATATTCTTCTCCAAGTCACAGCTCACAGGTTTTCCTCCATTGCAAGATTATTTTAATTCGTAGAAGCTCAATACCATGCCACAACAAGCCGTTGTTATTATTATTATTATGAGCAATTGAGAGATAATCGGCCAAAATTTCCAACAATTGACTGCATTATTTAATCAACCTGCACAGTTTTACATTCCAACTATACTAAATATACATTAAATCAGAAAACCAGGCATAAAAAAAATACTTGGACAGAAATAGAGAGGGGTAGGGATGGGCATCGGTACAGAAAATTGAGAAAACGTAAGATTACTGTTTTAACTTCAGCTTGGATTTCTCATACATTAAAATTGAAAGAAGCAGAAAAAAAAATTGATTATTGGAGCATTTGTAGTATACCACTTGCTTCATGACAAGAGGAACCGGCAACATGGAAACTACTGTAGAATCTGATTTTTTATTTCTGCACGACAGAAAACAATAAGTTCACAAAGTGCAAAACTAAGTGAAATTGAAATGATGTCAAACTCTCCTGCATAAAGCTAGAACCGGTATCTGATGGAACAAAAATCTATCTCTAATAATGTGAAGAAACCTTAGACATCAGAAAACTTGAGTTTCAGATGCAATGATCATAGAATAGAAACTTTGTTCTAATGTGCTAAATTCTTGATGGCGATAAGCATAATATTACCAAAGTGGAAACCATGATGTGCATAAGAAAGAAAACCCGCTGATTTAAGAAAATGCTGAAATGTTTGATGGCAAATCTCTCGACAAAATGTTACATCAAATAACCATGTAGAAAGATTTACCGTTATGTACATGAGCAGTTTTGGCTGAACAGAGACTAAGCAAAACTTCAACTTCAACCCATTTGCCACTGCAACAAAATCACCAACCAACAAAAGGGTCAAATTTGTATAGTGTTACCGAACTGTAAAGAGCTTGGAAATGATCCCCAAAGGAAATGAAATTGTTTAACAGAGTGCAAGACCCAATGGCAGCATGGCAGAGATTGGAGGACAAGGGCATCATTATAGAAAGACCAAGCCTCAATAAGACGAAGTGAAACTCCCAATCCCCTCCCCAACTCCCCCGTGTATGAGGCAGATTTTATTTTAATAAAAACCATAAAAGTTGAGAAACCATTGTAGTTAAAGCTAAATGAGCAAATTAGTTAACAAAAACCTTCAAAACAGGTTCGCCTTTATTAGAATTTGCTGATTGCTTTGCAGCCCCTTGTACCTGTGCACGTGCAGCTCTTCCCGCAGCTGACTGTTCGAACTGCTCTTGCCTGCGATTTTCATCAATGATTTAAATGTTAAAAAAAAGGCTGCCATAAATATAACTGTTACAAAAAAATCCCAACACTCTCGTCATTCTTCTCTCTCTTTGACATCAAACCAAAGGAACAGTTCAGGTTCTTTCAGACTTTCACAATTACAGAGCAAAAAATGAGATATCATTACTTCACTGCTAAAAATTCATACCACAATTTCAATAGAAAATCAAACCGAAACTAATTTTCACAAGCCCTAATTTTCTGTAATGAATTTCTCTGTTCTGATCAAAACTCAATAACCGAACAATTTTCGACAACAAACGAATCAACCTCTAATATTATGCTGAATTACTAACAGTGTAACAAAAGCAACCGAATATGAGAGAAGAAAAGGCGAATTGTAAAAGAAAGGACTGGGAAATTAAAATAAAGTGGGGGCGATCAAATTACCTTTTCTGAGCAGCCTCGACGGCTTTGGCACGAGCTTCGGCGGAGGCCAATCTTTCATGCTCCTTTCGCTGTTCTTTGTTTCCTCGGTCGAAGCAAGAGAAACACCCCATTTTTTCCGCTCTTCCCCTCTCCTTGTTTCTCTCCTTTGAGCTTTGATTTCCTTCGCCCCTTATTTTATATATTACGCTCCCGCGTACATCTTTAGCCCCAAGACAAACCAATAGAATAACGCCATGTCATAACTCAAAGGCTCCCCGGTCTTTTTAGAAGAGCCCTTGAAATTTAACTGGCGGAATTTCGTTGGTATCTTAAACTGCATGTTTCCTCTTTGCGTCTTGACAAAGCCATTTTTAGCGGCTTGAAGATCTAAACGACTGCGTTTAAGCTGATTGTTTTTTCCTCCTTTAAACCCTAACAATAATCGTCTTAAGGATTTGCAGGCAAAGTTCGAAACTTGGAAGATGCGACCGTTAGAGACACTGCCGCCAACGGAAACCCTAGAAATCGAGAACGGTCTGTCACTCGTCCCGCGCGTGAAACTCAATCTTACAATCTACCCGTCCCTTCCTTCCGTTTCGAAGCCCATCGACGAATGGCAGTTAAAACGAGCCCTAATAGATTTCCTCAAGACCTCACTTTCCGTCTCCATTACCGTCCCCGAAGAAGATCTCCAGATCAGACGGCTCAAAGACCTCAAGAAACGGAAGCGCGACGAGGCGGTTGCCCACGGCGCTATCCTTATTCGTGACCTTGGGTTTTTGAATAGTAAGAAGAAGAGTGAAGAAAGTGATAAGGAAGAAGATGATGAGAAGGAATTGGAAAAGAAGTTTTTGCATTGGAGAAGGTATGCCGCGGAGAAAATGGATGGGATCGAGCTTAATCTCGAAGGAGTTAAGTATAATCTTAGTGTTGAAATTCCGGTTTCGGATGATTTTGAGAGAATGAGGAAAGATTGGGAGGAGTTATATTCTTTTCGAAATCGAGGTTTGTAAGCTTTGTAGTTCTTGAATTTAAGTTGTTTCTTTCTTTTAAAAAATGAATTTCTATTTGTAGGTTATTCGAGGGGAGGAAGGCAAGAGCCGGATACGATTGTGTTGAGAGGGGTTCCATCGCGGTGGTTTGCGGAACCAAGAGTTTCATCCAAGCCTTCGATGCTGGTGACGCATACTATTTTTTCTACATTTGGGAAGATAAGGTCATTTCTTTTTCTCCTTTAATTGTTTGGTTTGTTTTTCTGTTTACTGAATTCTATACTTCTAGTACGTTAGGTGAAGCCTTTGTTGTTGAATGTTTGGAAACTCTAGTGTTTGTGCCTATTTGTGCCGAGCTCCAAGCTGAGCGTCAAGGCCCTGAAATCACAAGAGAGAAAGAGAGCCGTTAAGATCAAGGGCAGGGTTGTTCTTTGCATTTGTACTCCAACTCTCAAATTAGAGGTTAGAAGGAAAGGAAAATAGGAAAGCAAGGCAAATGTTAGATTAGACAGATAGTACTTGGATGGCTCTATTTATAGGCAGAATGTGAGGGTGGAGTAGTATAATGATGTAGCGGAGTTGATGTGGCACTGTACATGTCAGGTTGGCCCAAAAGTTAAAAATACTCCTGGCTGTCTGACAGTCTTTAATGAGGGAAAAGACTATTGGCCTTTGAACCCAAAAATAAACCTAATAGTGCCTATGAAAAATGCGGTTTCTCTGATGTTTTAGATGGGTTTGAAAGATTGTAACTTTGCGCTTTGCTTGGTAGGGTAGGAAGGAGGGAAATATGTGAGGATGGAAAGCTTGTTAATTTAATTGTTAAAATTCATAACAACTTTTCTACTTTGTAGCTTAACCATTAGATTAATAAATTTTCCTATCCTTACCTCTTTCCATTATTCCAACGAATCAAAGCCTTAATCTTTTTTTGGAGCAAATGGCACATTATCTATCACATGCTTAATTTTAGCTACTCTTTTACTTTTCTTTCTGTTAACATTGTTGATTTGTTGTTGTTTACTTTATATTAGCCAAGGTTGCAATTGTTAAGATTGTAATATTGTTTAAGGATTGAATAGATATGAGAATTCCAGCCTTTGGCTTACCTTGATGAAATTCCTTGCACGTTGTTCTCATGGTGGTGCTTTATTTTCTTACTTTTTTTTAGATTTAGGCAAGTCGCTGCTATTAGATGCTCATAAAATTTTCTTCCCTATGAAGACTGATGAATACATATGAATTTGCGATAGACTGATATAATATTGCTATTCTCTAATATGGTTTCATGCACTTATTGCTACATGTGTAATATATATTATACATTGTGTTTTTTATTGTTAATGCTACTATTTAAATATTACCTGATTGTACAATATTCTTTTTACTGCTCCTTTAACTTACCCTCAATAGGAACCTTAATGTTGCTGAGGACGATGATTTTGGTAAGGAGACAGATGAGGATGACTTAAACATAGTTTCAGGTCTTCATTGTAAGATTGTGGTTCAATTCGAGAAATACAGGGATTTCTATAACGCACTTAAGGTGCTATGTGGTCGCTCATTACGAAAGGTATGAATTCCTTGATTTTGCTTGTTTAATCATAGTGTGGAAGTATTTTGCTCTTGAGCCTTGCACCTTGTCTTGAGTTGTTTCTTTGCTTCGGATTCAATGGCACACCACCGCTAGTCATTTGCTTCGTGCACAAGAGCTTATCACTGCCTAAGTTCAAAATGTGGGAAAAAAAGGTTGATTGTGCTGATCATTATGGTGTTGTTAGAGATGATACTTTTGTTCAGTTATTTTGTTAGCATTGCTAAGTCTAATTGCTTGTAGGTTGGGATGAAGTTAAATTGCATTTATAAATTCATTTATTAACAACTATAATCAGTAGTTTTGCTGATATCCAAACTCATCTATTCTTGATCAGCAAGGATCTCTATTAAGTGCTGATTATGAGGTCACATGGGACAAGGATGGCTTTTTCCGGAACTCAAGAAGTCAAAATCAAGAGAAGGGCAGCAGGATGCAGGAAGCTGCAGCAGTACGATACAGATCTGAAGCTGCCAGACATGAACCTCATATATCTCATTTCACTTCCAATGATACCCGCAGAAAGAGGTTTAAGGTCAGAATTTAGCTCAATAAATTATAAATTAGGGGTTAAATAGGCATCTTATTTAAAAAAAAAAAAGATCTTTCTATCATTACTACTGGCTGATAAGTTGGTTGAATCCATTTGGTGCAGTTATTTGATTTATATTCTCAGCTAGATTGTGATCCTCTTTTTTCCTTTGAATGCAGGAATAGAGATACTGATGCACATTTTGAAAGATTTAGACCAATCCATTTTGAAAGATTTATACAGATTGGTCTACGGGATTGTATGAGGACAGGGTTGCGGATAAATGATGGATGAATTTTGGCATTTTGCATTTGGTTAGCCTCGTAACAGTTTTATGTTTATTTAGCCATTTATGAAAAGATGCAATCTGTAAAACTTGTGCCCAGCTCGGCCCTCCTTCCCTTTCTTTACTCTCTTCTTTCCTTTTGAAATGATGCTAGACTTCAGACTTAAGCACATCTTTTAGGGCAGTTGCTAGTTTGATGCTGTGGCCATTATTATGGTGGTACTATTGAAAATTGAGTCATTAGTTCTTTCACCCTTTTGAATTTTGTTCTTGGATTTATTTTTATTAGTCTTAAATATCTTAAAAATGTTAAAATAATGTCCTTGCTACTGAATAATCTATTAAACTAAAACAGCACTGTCGAAAAGTCAAAACTGTGGTATAAACATACTTCATCTGCTTTAATGGAGCTTTCCAATTAATGTATTAAATTGTAACAGACTTAAATAGACAAGGATCAAAATGAAATAATATCACATCAATATCTCTGAAACAAAATGTTTTCGTTTCTCCTTTGTTCAAACCTAATCGTACATAAAAAGTAGGGTTCCAGGTGTGCTCAAACATTAAACAATTCACCTTACAAATATAATAATACCTCAGGGAGCTCCATGCTTTCTTCCTCATTTTTGGAAATAGTAGTATGCAAGCTTTTTTTCTTTTTTTTTTTTGGTTCAAGGGGGGGAGAGGGGGAAAGCCATATTAAAGTGGGGAAGAGGGGGAGGCTTGGTTTGAAATCAAATCCTTATATCTTTCTAAAGGCTTTTGTGGCCATTAGGTCACAAAGCGAAAGACGTATCTAAGCCTTTTTTTTTTTTTTAGTTGCTCATTTCTATGCCTTTTTATCTAAAGCATTAAACAAGTTGTTTTAAGTATTTTTTTTTTCCATACAAAAGAGGTCAAGGTTTTGGAGAATTGAAAAAAAAAAATTATGTATTAAGGACCGAATTTTAACTTTGCAAAAATTCATCTACTAAAAAAGGTGGGCTTAAACTCCATATTCATCTATGTATTTGAATGAATCATTCTATTGTTATCAAGGCAAGAATCACATGAGAATGCTCCGCATCCTTCACAAAATATTTTACTTTAAATTATTCAAAACCAACATTTGTAATTTCTCACAACCAAGTTTCATGACTAAGAAAATGTCATAAGCCAACCTGAATTAGAATTCTCTATTTACCAATTCAACTTTACACACAAGAATTTACACTGTTGAACATGTCAGAGTGAATGAATTCTTCAATCCAACTTAATCCTCTTGATCAGCTTTTCCGACGATGATCATGTACCGGGGATGACTTGTCCCGGACAGCTCCGGATTTGTTTTCACTCAACTTTCTGACATAATCTTTCGTCTTCGTTGATCTTCTCACCTTAGTGGAACTCTGTCCTTGAATTATAGGAACTATATACCATCCAACACAAGTAAATAAAATCGAAACTGATCTTCCTAAAAACACCAACAGCAACAAAATCAGGACTAGAAATGCTGGTAAATAGTAAGAAGGCCGCCTCCATTTATGTAACTCCATATTCCATGAAAAGCTCTTTTTCTTCTTCTCAGTATTTTCACTAACTGATTGCAATCCTGATATCTTCTTGATTACTTCTTTCCCTTCAATTAATGTTTCGATTGGATGTTTATCCAAGACTTCAGAATCAATATTCTTTCCAGGCTGATGATCTTTGGTATCAACAACAGGTTTCTTTGTCTCTTCTTCTTTCTTGTCCTTGAGCTTTACCACGATTGGAACACAATCTGTCGAGTTCTTGTACATGAAACGAACGAATGATATATCTTGTGAATCTGTTTGAGAGTAAATCTTTTGTCTTTTCTCTTCAAGTTCAGCTAAGAGTGCAGAAAACTTGTCAAGACCACGATTCGAATATGGGTTCTTGTTATCCTTGTAATGGCTCTTAGAAAAGCTGTTCCTTCTTGATTTTCTTGGCGAAGAATTAGGGATGCTCCAAAGCTCATGATCATCTTCTTCTTGATGATTGAAAGCTCCGCAGATAAAAGGCTGAAACATCTGTAAGTGAGTTATGGAGAATTGTAACAGGACTCTGGGTTTTGGTCTTGTTTTGATTGGAACAGAGTAAAGGAGAGCCACAGGACTCAATAAAAGGATTCTTCTGACAAGACCAGCTCCAATCCAACTTGGTCAAATTTAATGTTTTAGAAAACAAAACAAGAAATTCCTCCGAGTAGTTGACAGTTTCCTCATGGATTTTGGTATCGTTTGACTTCTACAAGAGTGTAATATAAAATTAATTAGTCTTGGATATGTAACATGAATGTGAAGAAAAAAAGTTCACCATACCAGAATTTTTTATGACGTGAAGGCTACAGTTTAACATACTATTGCTTCTAGAGGAGGGCTTGAAATGGTCGGATTGATATTATCTCAAACGAATGATGCAGTGACAGTGGAATATATATATATATATATATATATATATATATATAATCATCTGTACTGTAAATTATTATGTAAACACTTTCTAGATGAAATACCCAAGAATTATTGATAGTTGAAAAGTGATGCGGGTTACTTGGGTAGGTGAAGATTTGGACTGGGAAAACATTGATGCAGCAGTTGGATTCAGCTCTTCTCTTCCACATGATCTGCTTATCTCAGTAAATCTTATACCATATGATATAATTACCCAGGTTTGTTTTAAGTGATTTTTGTTCTTCTTAGTTCTTGTACATAAACATATATTTCAAACTGACTCCTCAAATACAATAGATTGTATAATAATTCTTAAGCTGAAAATAAGAATTACTTAAGGAGAATATCACTTTATATATTGCTTATTTTAGTATTTATCACAATAAATAGCACTAAGCTCAAAGTGGTCAAAATACCCAAAACTAGTTTTATCACCATGAAGCATGAAATCTCATTCCTTTTTTTTTTTTTTTTTAATTTTTGGAGGCTCTTCTGCCTTTTCATGAGTAAATAAATATATTTTCAGCTTATTCTTGCTCCTTTTTGATAACTCATTGATCAAGAGAATTTGTAATTGGTGCCAAAAAATGGAGGAAAATGCTTTCTTTTTTGTTTTTTATTTTTTTTTCTTTGAAATAGAGGAATGTTTGATTCAAGGAAAAAAAGAAAGTAATCCATTGAGAACAAACATGATAACAATGTTTGAATGATGATCATGTCATTTGTATATCTTCCTATTTACATATGTACGAGTTTGACATCACCAGTTTTGCAAAGTTTGGATTTTTTCTTGCAATTATTCAAAGACATAATATCTATTTTGAGCTGTTTTTGTTTTTGTTTTTTTATAAATCAATTCAATCAGAAAAATAAAGACAAAAACAGGAATACAAACTTGGGAAACACGTGTTATTTTTAATCCTTCAAACTTCAAAGATGACCGCAAGGCTAAGGAGCTACAAATGCCATTACATACGGAATTTAAGCAAATTGAGAAAAAAAAAAAAAAAACCTTCTGTTTGGTAATGAACAAAGAGGCCTGGAAGAACAGTCAAAACAAAGAAAAAAAATTATAATCATACAGATTATAGAATTAGAAACCATTGCTTTGAAACTTGGTGAAGAATATTCTTGGCAAGCCAATGTACATGTAAACTCCTAGAAACTCAACAATAAAAAATCAAACTATGCCAAACACGGCTTACTTTCATTGACTTGGTTTTTCCAACCCTCAGATAAGCCGTCTATGCCAAAACACTTGTTTGGAACATCCACCGGGAAAAAAACAAATGAAATGAAAATATAGGAAAAAGGATGTTGTGAACATACGTTTATTGCATGAGAAAACCAGCTTTCCACGTTCCTTGTAATTCTAGTTTCTTAAATTTTACAACTCTTTGAAGGGGCACGTTCTTGTAAACTCTTTCTTTTTTTTAATAATATTTTTCTTGATTATACAAAATTGAAGTTCATGAGTATGATACAAGAATTAAATTAGGATTTAACAACAGGAAAATATGAAAAGGAAGAAACAAAAGAAAATTTATCATTTTCTGTATATTCTCTTGATCGTAATAAGAAAATTAAATTCCATAAACTTGAGATTACCAAGTCCAAATGGTTAAAAGCAAACATAAAAATGAACAAAAGATGGGAATGCACAAGGTTGCAACTAGCTCACCTTAGGCAATTAGGCACACTTTTGTCTCACCAAAAAGCACTGTCAATCATCATCATCATCAAAATTCTCGTCATCCTTCATATACTTCTCTTGCACTGCTGCAGCTGTGGACTGATTTGTTAAGAGAAACTCATGAAACCATCAAGAAATTGATGAATTAACAACTTTGGTAGAGTTAGAATTTATCTCAGGCTCAAAAACTTTTAGAGAATGGCATAGCTGTGTGGTTTCACAACTTGAAATGTGACGGCCTGAATTGTTAATGAGAATTGATGGTATAATTGCTACAGTGAATAAGAGCATATGCATACTAGATCTAGATAAAAGGATATCTGTAATAATCCCAATCAACTTGTCGTACTGCAATCTTGCTGAATTCAACTGCACTGGCGTCTATACCAGCAAATATGTATCCATTACTCTTGTCAATAAGCTTCACAAGATTCCCAACACTCTCTTTATCCTGAAAGGAGAATCAGCTTAACAGAAAATCTACATAAAACTATAAAATAAAGTGAAGAAGAACAATATAACTCAAGAAAGATACAGTTACTGGCATGCCTGAATATCTAAGGTAGTGAAATTGACCAGACTAAAGTCTTCGATTACATCACATAGCTCCTTTGTAAGCTTTCTGCAAGAAGAATTCAGATGATTGAGATGACCTCAAAAATTGGGGGAAGCTAAGATTTAGGGTGAATATAGTTACAGCAAGTAGCCTTGTTATGAACTGTCAACCGAATTAAACTTAATGAAAAACACTTATGGTTACATCTCACAGTAGCATATCAATGGCAGCCCTTGAAAAATCCAACTTGTATGTAATATTATCTCCTCAATGCTATAGATATTAGCATCCAAATGTAAAAATTGAGGATAAGTACATGAATTCTGGTCCAGATCAACAAATGAAGGGATAGAATTAAGGACATTCAAAAGCAAAAGTGTAAACTTATCAACAAAGAAAACTTAATGTGTTATGCATGGTGAAAAATGCCAAAATAACAAGTCTGTAACAACAAACCTATACTTAGCAGAGCGGGGATCCTGATCAAGATGGTGCTGTAAATATGATAAATCTTGCACATCTGTGTAGAAATGCAGATTGAAAGCTGCAACACATCCAGATAAGATGATTAACCATAGTACTAGCACTTTGAGGCTTGTAGCATAGTAATTGATACTTCAAGCTCACCCAGCTTTCCATAGCTCTCAATTAGGTCTATCTTAGACAAGACGTTGATGTGTGGCAGCTCTAAGTGCAACATGGTAGATAAAGAAAGAAGCAAAGCACTAACATACTTCCCAGGGTCACTGCATAGGTGGGCATCAACTAAATGTACAGCACTCAACTGCATAAAATAAATAACTCAGTTTTCTACAATCTTAAAATCAAGATAACAAGCTAAAATCAATTTTAGTTCAGCACCCTATGAAGAGGAAAAGACATAACCATACCCTAAGATTCAACTTTTTAATGAGCTTCATGACAACATTCTTGGCATTTGAGTGAAGGAAAAATAGTTCAACCTGGCCGGGAAAATCAAAAAGAAGATAGTGATCTGTAAATTATAAAAATCGTTAGAAATACAACTATAATTACAATAGCCTTCTAATCCCTACATTATAACATGGTGCATTGAATAAATAGAGAGATATATCAACCAATAACTTCACTATACCTACTTTAGAGCATACTAGATGTCAAATAGTTTCTGTTCCCAAAACCGGACATCAATTATCTAGTTACACAAAGATAAAAATGCACATGGTAGTCTAATATAGAAACTCTAATGAAAAGCATTAATATGTCTTGGTGGTTAGTGCCTTGTACATGTTCCTATTGTTGGTTTCCTAAAGAAGGTAAACACCTCAAACACAGAAATGCACAAATTTGACTGTTCAATCATGCTTGAGACACCCCATCAAAGACAAGTTCAAATCCTTCTGAATGAATCAACACCCATTGATCTCCTTGAGAAAGCTGGATTGCCTTTTTATAACTAGATGCATGTTATGATATTTATCAAACAAAATCAAGATTAGAGCCTAAACTTTTTGAGAAGAAGAAAAGGCAGAAGATACCAACCTTTCAAAAGAGGTTCCAGTTTAGACTGCAACCAATCAATATTCTTTTCTAAATAATCCATACAATAGACAAGACCTGGTTGCACACACAAAAATTACTTTAGATACCACCGGACAAGCAAACCTGAGCTAGAACCATAATGAGCATAAACACAACATTGCACTTCAAATTAATTCTGTATCCACAGCAAACCAACAAATACTGCATTGCGCATGGTCCCTCAATTCTTTAGGAAAACATTAACAGAATCAGCATCTAAGGTTCTGACCCACAGAAATTCTTCTGACAGCTCACTAGAGAATCTATAATACAATAACACCTTTTATAGATACCACATGCCTTGATTTACTCATTTTATGATTTATCTGATTGGACCTTTGAAACCCTTTGATACAGTAGTAGACCAAAAGAAAGCAGAAACTAAGAATAAAAAAGGTACACCTCCATTAGGCCCCAAAGAATGTTCTTTCATCACATCACTTAGTTTTATGAGATCCTCAATATTGATGGCAGACTCATAACTATATTAGTGTCAAGGAGAGTTCATGTCGATCAAACTTTCAAGACAAGGAAAACAATGTTACAAATAATTGCTAATTAAAAGGATACGGTAATGAATCATTGGCTGGATCCAGATTGATTACAGCAACCTTTCTGCACCAAAGAATGGCATGGAAACAGTCAACTTCTGCCACATCTAACATAATCTATCTAACATGTGTGCATGAACAAATGAAGAAACTAGAAGCAAGAAATAGGAACAACCTTCCAATAAGTTTGAGGAACTGAGACATGCCATTGCAGTAAGTAGTCTTTCCTGATCCAGGTGGACCAATCACCACTTGCCCAAACACCATCCTACTTCTCTCTATAAATGCTTATATTTGCATAGAAAATTTTCCAAGTCAAGGTTACCTAGAAGAAAAGGTATCTGATTTCAGCAATGCAAACCTGGGAATTGCAAAACCCAGTGTGTGTTTAGAACCATACAAAATATACAGAGTTATTCTTCTTAAACAGAATGTGTATTAAAAAAACTCGAAGCAAACACTTTTCAAAGGGCTGAACTTTTGCGAAGGGTAAATCTTTCCATATGTTACATACGCAAATTCGAATCCAGTGGAAAAGCCATAAGATTGTAGCACAAACAATTGGATTAGGACCAAATAGTTTTATTGGGATTCCCTAAAATGCCAAATTTGTTTGCTCCAACTAAATATGCTCCGAAAGAAATCTTCTTTTACCTGGTCCAGAAGCTTGTTGAAGCCTTTTCACTTTGGTCTAGACAAAGAGAGTTTCCAAGGTTGCAATTGCTTCTGTTGCGACAAGTTACAGTTGAGGTTTCTGGGTTTAACCGTTTGAGATGGAGTAGATGAACTAGAGAATCAAGAACTTTCGAGAAAGTGATGTGCAATTTCGCAAAAAAAAAAAAGAAGGGGCGCTCCGAGAATCGAACTCGGGACCTCTCGCACCCAAAGCGAGAATCATACCACTAGACCAAGCGCCCACTAATGCTTAGATTTTGGTGATTACTAACTACAATTTTAAACACCAGTTAACGTACCCTTTTGAAAAAAAGAAATTTGTTTAATATATATACATGTATAATATTTCTAATGCCTACTAGTATGCTTTTTTGGGTTATAGAAATGGAGATAAATAGTGTTCTACTCGATGAATATCAAACATCATGGCATTTGCCAGCAAAGTCAATCACACAATGTTCGGCAATAGCAAGGAGGCTAAAATTTTGCAGCAAGTGGCCCCTGGGTTTATGGTTAAAGATCATCTGTCTGATCCAATTAAAAATAACACCAGTAATAATAATGCTGAGGTAGTCCAACTCCAACAGGTGGTTTTGGCACATGGTTTACAGTAGACTACATGATTACAAGCTGTAATGCTAAGTTGCTATGGGGCACATTCACATGAAGCTTTGGAAATTTTCTTTTTGGTCTTTTGGTTCAGGGGGAAGGAATTTGCCATTTGCCGATTTCCCATGTTTCTGTGAAATATTTTAGCCCAAATTTACTGTACTTTTGTGCTACTGTTTAGCTTACACAACTAGGGATGGCCAGTTAACCCGTCCCCGACGGGTTTCGGCCCGACCCGACCTCACGGGGTCGGGTTTTTTTTTTGAAATTCGGGTTTCGGGGTCGGGTCGGGTCGGGTAAAATAAGAAACCAGTCGGGGTCGGGTTTGCCTAAAATCCGACCCGATATTATATAAAAAATTATTTTTTAATTAATTATTTAATTTTTTATTATATATATTTATATAATGATATTTTTAAATATTTATATTTAAAAAATAATATTTTATATTTTAAAAAATAATATTTTATTAATTTCGGGTCGGGTCGGGTCGGGTACGGTTGCGTGGTATCGGGGGTCGGGTCGGGTTCGGGTATGAAAAATCAAAAAAAATTTCGGGTAAGGTCGGGTTCGAGTTTAATAAAGCTTAAATCGGGTCGGGTTCGGGGCGAGCAAAACCCGCCCCGAACCCGACCCGATGCCAACCCTATACACAACAGAGTTTGCTCCGCCCTTGAGCTCAAATTAGGCGAGATGTTAGTTCCGAGTGGGGCATCGGGCAGTGAGGGAAAGCTGTAAAGACATAGATTGATTTCCAATTAATATAATTGTTCCATTTTTTTGGTTTGATTTTCATCATTGTCGAGAGTTACCTCACAACTTCCATCATTTCAGTCTCATGTGCAATTCTTATATTTGTTAGCCACGTTATTATATGCAACAGTTGTTTAATGAGCTCTTCAAACTATCTCGATGCTTGCAACTGAAGAAAATATTGAGCAACTATGTCTTTGATGTTAAAGCAGGACAGGACAGGACAGGACGGGACAGCTATGTTTATTGGATGGAGTGGGCTGGCATTTCAAAGCCCTGGGGTCCCAAACTCTTGTAGCAAAAGTCAAGTTTCTGTCACCCAGCCAGAGATATACAAGCAGCTTTACTCAAGCAGGAGAAGCTTTGCTTCTTTACCATTAGTCTACCCTTTTTCCAATTATTTAAACTTTAAAAATTATGCTTTAGCCTACAAAGACAAATACAAATACAACAGAAGGTCAAGCAAAGCAGTTAGCATTAGTTTTCTTTTTTTGAATTAATGTGAGATTTAGTATGAGAAAATAAGAATCATAGATGGGGAAATCAAATTAATTGCAAGATATAACCGTTCTGGTCCCCCAACCCCCACCCCTCTTTATTGAAAAATCATTTTAAAACTAATAATCGGATGGTCCTCACCTCAATACTGCAGCAGAACAGATATTCTTGGGGGTTGTTTGATTTTGATGTTGGTGGGAGAAATAGGCCAAAACAGATCCAAGCAATCAAGCAAAATTTTAAAAACCAGCCAATGAGGCTCCTATATTGTTTTTATGTCGGGTTGAAATCATTAAGGCAAAGCAGCTCCATAATGCTAGCCTAGAATTGAACAATTACTGACAGGACATCTACCCCTTTGAAGGCCTCACCTAAAGCAACATAGCGGTGGCTTACATCCTTGGTAATTTGGACCATCCAGTGAGATTCCACTAAATCATTATTTCAAATATTTAAATAATGTAGCTTTCCAACTAGGGTAATTCAGTAAGCAGATTTAAGCAACTGTCTATCTCAACAAGTAGATTACTGAAAGAGAATCCAAATTCATTTGAGGACAGAGAAGAAATAAAAATATCTTGAGACAACGGCAATTAGGTGCTTCAAGGTTGGACAAAAATGATTGTTAAAAGACACTTTTATTACACAAGTCCTCTTTTTGGTCTCCGCAATCAATTGTGACTCCATTTCTCCATCCTCCCTTTTCCTTATGTTCTCTTCTTTTCACCTTCCCATTAATCTTTCTAGAGAAAAGAGAGGACATAACATAACACATTAGATTTGCTAATTGTTTGGTGAGGTGAGAGCTGAAACCATGGCATTTGCAGGAACAACCCAGAAATGTATGGCCTGTGACAAGACTGTCTATCTGGTTGATAAGTTAACTGCTGACAACAGGGTGTATCACAAGGCCTGTTTCAGGTGCCATCACTGCAAAGGAACTTTGAAGGTAAGTACTTAATACTTGCTCTAGAGTCCAGCTTTATTGATGCCATGCAGTGCTATGACATTTTAATTTTGTTGGTAATTCCTACTATGGCAATTCCTTGCTGCAAATGTCATATTTGCCCCTAACCTCTTTGAAAACAAAAATGGAAATCAAGCCAGGTTTTACCTGGATTTGATACTATTACACTATAGATCATGCAGTAAAGAATCCTGGAGTGTCTGTATTGTTTTCCTCTCAGCCTACATCTCTTCTACTTTTATCTGTTCCGATCTGATGCCTTTTGCATAGTTTAGAGAGATAGCTTTCCATATTTTAGGTATGTTATGCCTTCATTGCTATATCTCAGTTTGCCTGTGGAAAACTGAAAAATAGTAATTTGCATCATTAGGTTTTTCATAAAAAGCCATATTGACATACACATCTCATTTGCAGCTAGGCAACTACAATTCCTTTGAAGGAGTTTTGTACTGCAGACCTCATTTTGATCAACTTTTCAAAAGAACTGGCAGTCTTGACAAAAGCTTTGAAGGTGCAACTTCAAATTTTCAAATAGAATCAAAGTAGTATTATCTTGGACAGATCTAGCTGACTTTCAACTTCAATTCCAATTTTCTTCCTAGGTACCCCAAAAATTGCAAAGCCAGAGAAACCAGTTGATGGTGAGGTAATTTCATTGAAGCCTCTACGCCTGCTTGTATATGGGTTATATGTGTGTTCCCATATTTATGAGCTCCTTTGAACAGAAACCTGCAGCAACTAAAGTGTCAGGCATGTTTGCTGGAACCAAAGACAAATGTTTTGGCTGTAAAACTACTGTGTATCCAACTGAGAGGGTAATATGCAGCTTTTCCTACATGAACAAAATAAAAATGAGCCGACGCTTCTTTCTATTCTAATTTCTGTTTTTGCATTTTGCTTTCATATTTCAAACCTCAAAAATATTAGCAGTTGGCACAGTCACCAAGCACTAACTATAAAAATGTGTTTTCTTCTATCCAAAGGTTACTGTGAATGGAACTCCTTACCACAAGAGTTGTTTCAAATGCACACATGGAGGATGTGTGATCAGCCCTTCCAATTATGTTGCACATGAAGGCCGACTTTACTGCAAACACCACCATGGTCAACTCATCAAGGAAAAGGGAAACTTAAGCCAGCTTGAGGGTGAACGCGAGAAGGAGAAAATTAATGTGACAGAAGTTCCTGCTGAATCTTAATCTCTGTCATAAATGTTTGGTCCTTAATCTCTGTCATAATTTATCCTATCTTCTCTTTCCCATGTTTCTGTCTGGTTCATATTTCCTGCATTCTCAATTGGAATGAGTTTATGGTTAGAAGACATAAATTTGCTGATAGATCTAATTGAAGTGTGTTGGCTTTTGTTTGCTATATTTGAATGTTTTGTGCAGCATCGCGGTCAAATGAGATGCTAAGACCTATTTGCGTCTCGGTATACACTTTTGTAGTTTGTGAATTCTTGTTATTATTCCTGTTAGTCTTAAGTATACTACCAGTTGTCAACGATTGTTTCTCCAAAGAAAAGGAGAGTATCTGCCTGGACCAATGTTATGTTTCCTCCACTCATGCACCAACTCCTCTCAAGTTATTGTGCTTGGGAGAACTGTCTAATAAATGATGGCACAAAGTTTTCTCAGCTTTTTCAAGGCATTTTGGGCCATGAGACCATGGAATCAAAGCATCACAGTTCACGCTGCCACAAAGATGATGTTTATTATTCAACAAAGAATAATTTGAAGTGCCAGAGCAAGCATGACACCAAGTTAGAAATCAATCTGTACATAAATTATCACCAACAATGTAAATTATCGTTACAACAAATTCATTGAATCAAGAAGACAACCACCTTGGATGAGATGTTTCAGGTCTATAATAAAATGGTCCTGAAGAAATCCAAACCCAAATGTTCCATTCATGTACTTCCAAATCCTTCCTTCTCCATGCTGGAGACCAGCAGATCCTGTCAAGCCTGAAACTGTTAAATTGCAACTTGAGTTGATGTGCAGAATTTGGGAAACCATCTCAATGCCTGTCATGGCAGGTTGACTATGAACGTGATCCTGAGCTGCAAGTGGCTGCATATGTATGCGATCATCATAGATATGTTCTTCCTCAGGAGAAAATGGTGACTTCATTAACATAGGTTCTGATGTCCAGAACACTGGAGGAGCATAGGAGGACAAGTCCCCAACCCTATGGCAAATTATGCCCCCAATTTCATCATATTTAACAAGATAAAAATTCAAGTTCATGTCATCAGATATTCCCTGCAATTATAAGCTGGAAGAGAGTCAAAACTGAGCTTTAACAAAAGAAATATGTGGCATGTTGGGAAATATTTATCAAGCACTTCAGTTGAATTACAAAACCTCTTTTGCTGAAAAACCAAATGCATTTGTAAATCACATTAACCAAGTGCAATTGCAAACCAAATTGGACCAACTATCACAGTTAGGGTCCGAAGGCAGTGCCTCAAGTCTCTCTAACTCTATGCTTAAATTATAAATTGGATGATATCCACAAAATGATGTTTACGAAACACAAATGATCCCTATCCCTACCGCTGTCTACAAACCATATTCCATTGAACAACTGCCTACTCTAACAGACATTGCTTTCCCCTAGTGATACTTAGTTGCATTGTGTTGTTAGAATGTCATACAATATTCAAAAACATAAGCCAAAAACATGCCACAGTTGTTGAAACAAAGCCAGACAAATCAACAATTAATCAGTGTCTAACATGACAGCATGAACTCAAAAGTGAATTAACTAAAATGCAACCGTCCAAGTCTAAAGCAAACCATCCTAAAAAAACATCAGAAGGCAGCTTTATAAGCATTCCTATTGTCCTAACAAATTCTACAAGTCCAAAATAACTCCAACTCCACTGCCCTACACATTTACACATGAAAGGAAACTACTTCATTAGTCAACAACAATAAATTTACAAACAGAAGTTTTTAACCTCTGACACAGAAAACAAAATTTGGAAAACGAGGAGTTTTCACAACACCTTCCAAAGACCCTGCAAGGGCTTATCCGGAGTAGGCAAGCAATCAATAACTTTAAGAAAATGCTCAGGCTCCCATTTCCTCCTCCCTTGCCTTTCCTTCTCCTTCTTCCTCTGCCTCCTCCACGCTCTATCTCCACCAGGACTTATCCTATTCGCGAAATGTGTATACATTTCCGATATCAAACGGTCCGGTAAGCTCCCAGGGCTCCCGCTCTCAGCTCCAACAACAATAACTTCCTCACTATCTTCTATCAAATTCTTTGAACTTGAACTCCTTCTAAACCCAGCGTTACTTTTACTACTATGCCAAAAGGTTGAATTTTCTTCAACTATAAAGTGATCGTTACCCATGAAATTGACATTGACTGGAACCAGATTTTGGTCCAAACAGACAAATTCCAACCAACTGTCGAAATCCCCGGATGGAACTTTAGTTTGTCCTTCTAGATCGAGAAAATTTACGATTTGCCCGTCTGGGGAGATCCCCATCCACAAAAACGGTGCTTTGGTGACATGATAGGTGCCGTCGTTGGAAGGACAAACCCTGGAACCGGAAACAAACGATGGACCCCACTCGAAAATGATCAACCCCGGACATTGACCGGAGAGGTTGGGTCGACCGCAGTGGCGCCAGAAGCCGATGAGATTCTCCCACTGGGTTAGGGTCTTGTAAAGGAGCTTGTAGGTGATGTTGCCACGGCCCCATTTATTGATCTGGGTCTTGGAGCCCCACCGGCGTTGGCACATGGTGAACCAGAACTTGGTGTCGCTTCGACAGAGGGAAACGGAGCGTTTTGAGCTGCAGGCGAAACTGGAGATCTCGGGTGGGGACAAGAAGGAAAGGATGCAAAGCTGGATGTCTTCAGGGAAGTCGGAGAAGGAAAATGAAGAGTCGGTTTGGTCCATGGAATTAGCCATAATAGCTTTTTTTTTTCAGCTCTGGGACAACTTTATTTTATCGGGAAATTTTATTGTTTGTGATCTCAGGAAAGTGAGACGAGAGTTTGGTAATTAACGACGTGCTGTGGTGGGGCAGTTTTGATAGATACTTGGAGAAGAGGGAATGATTCTTTCGTCAAAGACAAAAGAGTGCAACAGGTTTCCACGAAAGTGTTTTGTCTGAAATTGTGGCAAAGAAATAAGTTGTTGCACGAACGGCTGCCACTTTTGCTAGTCTCCATTTGAACGGTTGCGACGAGATTAAAAAATATATATTTATTATAATTGTAATTAAAAATATTATTATTATTATTAAAAAATAATAATAAATTTTATTAAAATTAATATTTTAATTTAATTAATTATAGGATGAATTTAATCGAATATATAAGAGCACTTGGAACAATTCCGTGCGTTACAATATTATTTTTGGGTGGGCTTGTAAAAGTCCTGGCCTCTCAAGAGTCAAGACTCAAACGTAAAAGAAGAGTTATTCAGGAATTCAGGATGTGTAGTTTGGAAACCTTCACAAGTCACCAAAATGAAAGTTCAAGTAAAATTGTTCTCTTTAGTAGTGGTTGTATTAAGAATCACATTTTTGTTATGGAAATATTTTTAAGTCTTTCGTCCAAACATTAAAGGGATTAAGTAATAGAAACAAAAAAGCAGCTTTGTCTCGTTAAAAAGAAAGCTTAGTAGTTTTTTTTTTTTTTTTTTAACAAAAAGGTTGTAACGTGAGAATAATAAAATAATTATAAATGTAAAAATTTAAATTATAGATTAGAAAATACGGTTGCAAGATTGAAATTTAAAAGAATTGATGGAAATTTGCACAAGTAGTGAAGCATGTGGTTTAATTTTATACAATGCTTCGAACTTTATTGGTTCTTGAATAACAAAACTTATAATATTTTTTAAAAATAATTATATGAATTAATGAAACTAAATTCTTGATTAGAAGTTTTTTTTCTTTTTTTTTTAAATTTCATATCTTAATTTAATTATCATATTGTGCATATTCAAGACAGGTTCCACTTGTGTAAAATCCCGTAAAAAATTGCATTACATTACTAAATAAAATTACATTTGTATTATGAAAAAAGAAACAATCTTAATTCGATGTTTCATTGCGTCAACTCAAGGTTTCTGAAAAAAACATTAGAAGGTAAATTAAGCTTTCACTGATTCAGACATCGATGGAATTTGATCAGGATCGTCTTAAATTCTTAACCTCTCCTCCACAGAAACCGAGTTCCTCCTAGGAACCCTATCGTTGGAATCTCGGCGCTTCAGCCTCCCATTGCCCGTTCGATCAGTTCCATTAAAAACCTGAACCAGCAATCCCTGCAACTTTTCAGGACTAATATAAGATTTCGCAGGCAACAAGGTTGAGTGTGCATTCAAAAATTCACTGTAAACAGGAACCACCAGCTTCACTGTTGCTTCTCTTATTTGTGCTCTCAAATCAGCGTCAGGAATGCTATAAACCCCTCTGTGCCTCTGTGAGATCTCATCAAAACAATTGAAAAATGCTTCTGTTTTACCTCTTACAAAAGCTCCTTTTCCACGGTTGTCATTGTCCTGTTCCTTCAAATCTTCATTCTCTAACAACCTTACTAAAGGCCCCCATGATTGCCTCTGATACATGTAAGCTGACTCCTCAGCAATAGTCTTGTATTTCTTTTTTATGTATTGCTCTCCTAAAAGCTTCCCAAGTTCTGTATTCCTGCTTCTGGTGTAAATGTACCAATAGGTGTTCATGACAAATATGTGGGGCAGAATTTTGTCTTTGTAACTTGAGCTCTTTGTTTTGATATTTCTCTGAAGAGCTTCCATGATGTTAGAGATGGCATCTTTGAGTAAATTCTCATCTGTTTCAGGTTTTGATAAGGTGCCAGCTTTCCATACTTGTTCTGTTCGGAAAACCTTAGTCATTGGTGCACTGTATGTCTCTGTGGTAAGGTGCTTAAGGTAATGGATGGCATATCTCACAAGTTTTGGGACTGAACCATCTTGTGGTGGAGGGAAACTGTCGGAAGTGCCTTCAATTTGGAGGCCAAACTCCCAAAACACTTTGCTTGAAGCATGAACGAGTAGCTTTTCAAGTTCCTTGAAACGTAAACAGATATCAGCTCCTGATTCACCTTCAAAAATCTCTGAGAATTCGACTTTCAGCTTTTCTAAGGAATCGAACATTTCTAAGAGCTTGAACAGTTTCTGTGGTTCTTTATTACTCCTTGCAACACCTTCTCCAAAGCGGAAAAATACCGCCATGATTTTATTTGCAATCTTGACAAAACACTCTAGCCACACAAGCACTTCCCTAAGTCCTCCCAAAACTTGTTTGCAAAGTTTCTTTTCAGATACAAAGACTGTTTTAACTGCGAGTTCGAAATGCTGGATCCAGAGAGAAATTGCTGTATCCAGGCTCTCCCACTCCATTTCATCAATTTCTTCCGGAGCGTATGTTCTTAAGTAATCAGGGCTTAATCGCATTAATGCTTTAGCTGCTCTTCGGTACCTCACCTGTTGAACAACCAAAAGAGTCGCAGCTTTAGGATCTAAAATCAAAATTGTCTCCTAAGTACAGGATCTCAAATAAAACTGTTTGTCTATCATAGTTTCTCAATCTATCCATATTCCAGCTATTAATTCCATCTGTGTTTAGAGTTCATATAGCTTCCTACTGATTCTAACAAAAATTGGATATTTAGTTGACTGTGCTTGCACAGACTTACCAGATTTTTCTAAATCTTCTGAATGATATTTCCTCACTTGATTCACTTCTAGGAAAAACTATTGTCTTGTAGTTCTAATCTCAGGAAAATTACCAAATTTATAAAAGAAACTTAGAAAGAAAGAAGCGTACCTTAACGAAGATATCAATACATATATCCAAACAATCATTGGCAGCCAGGGTTTCTGCAATTTGCCTGAGAACTTGGACCTCCATTTCCGTGCCAAGGTCCAAAACCACAGCTTGTTGAGCTTCTTCATCTACTTGTTGCTCACCTATATTTTGATGCTTTATTTGCTGTAACATAATCTCGAATTCATCCTGCAGGTTCAGTAAAGCCTGATCAAGCAACCCATCAAACCTCATGGCATCAACCTCAGATTCATATAGAGCTCTAAGTGTGATCAAAGTCTCCTTCAATCTTTGCGTTCGATACGGATCCGTGGCTTTAGTCCTGCTCAAGAATTCCACCACCTCTTGAAGCTTTTGAATCACTGGCTCACCGTCTCGACTGATTAAGTTAACGGCTATATTAAGCTGATCAACACATTCAACACATTTGAGCAGATTTTTAAGCCTCTTTCTCGGGGTTTTCTCAACAGATAGTTTGTTGGAGAGTTCAACAAGCTTGTTCTGAAGGGATTCAGAGAGCTTGAAACTATGGAGGAGAGCGAGAGCCGGAGAGACAGCTCTACTAATTCTAGTCTCGAGAGCCTTTGCAGTCATAGCGAGGGACTGCAAAGGTGCTACTGTTTTTGCAGCTATTGAAAGATTTTCATCAATAGCATCAAACTTTCTCTCCATCTCTTCCAGGTTCTTTTCCATTTTAACCGATGATTGTAGGAGTATTCTCAAATCCGAACACGCCAATTCTAGCTTGACAAGCGTTGAATCCTCTTCGTTGGCTGCCATTGATCTTGTCCTTCACCAAAAAAATGCAGAGAGAGCCGATTGAAAGATTGAATACGCGTGCAGGCTTTCCTAAACTCTAATAAATTAATGACGAGAACAAAGTTATGGTGGCAAAACAAGACGAGAAAAAGGGTAAATCACCAAGACTCCATATCGATAAATACCAAGAACAAATGGCATTCGCACATTCGATGCTGACAAATGTGCAAGAGAAAAACTAAGAATGTTCGGCCGGTATGCTTGGAATCGGTCCAGACTCCAGAACCAAGAACGCATTCTTTCTTTCAATCAAACTATCAAAGCACGTTTGGTGTATTTTTTTTTTTTTTTTTTTGAAGGCACATAATGGGCTTAAGCCCGAATGTCATCGAACTCCGATTAACAGAGAGAGTGGCCCAATTACCCGAAGCCGCAGTAGAAAGCGCGAAACTTCTGTCTAGTTCTTAACTTCTCATATGTCAGCTCTTAACGACTTTATAAACCTCTCAGAAATCTAAGTTCTATAATCAAAAGAAGGAAGAAAGAAAACAAGAGATAAAAGATGGCGGGTTTTGTGCGACGGGTTGGTCAGAATCTAGTTAGTGCTCATCATCGAGCTCAAGTTTCTTGGAAAAGATTCTGCTCTTCAGATGCTTTGATGGAACTGGGAGTGAAGCCTGGTGAGGTCGGAATGGTCTCTGGAATCCCTGAACAGCAACTCAAAGGAAGGGTTACCATTTTTCCTTTAATTTTCAAGTTTTGATAAGAAAATCTTGCAGAATGCTAACATGTAATAGAGTTTTTTAAGTCCTTGTTTCCTATCTGTTTTGCATTCACTTTATTAGCACATGTTATCTGCCTTTATGCATGCCAGGTTATAATTTACTCGCCTGCTCGAACTGCATCACAGCAGGGCTCAGGGAAATTTGGGAAAAGGAAGATTAATTTTTTATCAACACATAAGTAATTTACCATTTACCTTTATTATATTTCCCTTATTATAAGGTTATTGGGAATCAAAATATTGCAAATAATAACAAATTATTTTAACATGCACCCACCTTCTGTTTTTTTTCGTAGAACTAGGCAATCTTGTTCTGGTACATGTTGCTGTAATACTATAGAAACATTGACGTTATTTTGATGACATCGAGTAGTCATTTCCTCCAACTGGCATTTCCTCTAGGTGGGAAAATCCGTTAATGGGTTGGACATCAACAGGAATCCGTACGCAATGTTGGTGAGGCTGGACTTGAATTTGATAGCGAAGAAGCTGCAAAAGCATTCGCTGAGAAATATGGCTGGGAATATGAGGTATGTGCCTTTGGGGGTTTTAGTTATGCTGTCCAGGCATCAGTGATGAAATCTGATAACATTTAATCATGTGCCATCCTACTTTCCAGTTAAATTCACGCATCAACAAACAACTGCATCAGTATCCTTTTTCTGTTTTAATATGCGGAAAAGTGTAATGCCTTTCATTAAATTTTTATAATAAAATTTTAAATTAACCCTGTAAAATCCCTTGCTTGCCACAATTGGTAATCTCAATTGATTTTTTCTACCCTGGCAAGAGGAAGCTGAAAAAAATATAAGTTTTAACCAAATGCAATGTACAAATTGGTTGAATCATGCATCTTTGTGCATGCAACAGAACAGTTCCAGAGTAAGGAAGTGAATTGCCTGGAGGGTTACCTTAGAGGAGGAAGATTAACAAAAGGGTAGCACTGTATACATGCCTGGAATTGCTCATAAGAATAGATTGTAAATTTATGATTTTATACTCGTGAAGATAATGTATAGTAGTGATTCCTGTTAGTTGAAAAAGTGCTAATGAAACGGTTCTCTGAGAAAATCTTTGCTATGTTCAAATAAAGTAGTGCTTTCGATCTACTATATTTCTCCAAAGCACTTTAAATGTCATAATTTTTTTTTTTGACTACAGGTCAAGAAGCGACATACACCTTTTCTCAAGGTTCGACTCTCTTTACTTTCTTTAATTACATAGGATCTAATTCTATGATATTAGCCTTCCGCCTTCTGCTCTAATCTTAAAACCCATGCATGTTGTTTGTGATTTCAAGGATATTGATTTCAATTTTCAACGCCTTCACTTTGCAAAGATGAAGGAAAACTAGGAATGTTCATGGGAATAATCTCTTTTTGTATCACTATCTACATTATTCAAGGAATTAATTGGTTTTCCTCTATGATTCTAGGCTAAGTCATATGCAGACAATTTCAAATGGAAGGGCCCACCAAAAGACTGAAGATGATTAAAATTTTGATTTCTCTGAATAACCCATGACGCCATGAGTTATCATAGTTCATCATAGTACCGCATCAATATTGTACTTTGCTTCTGATACATCGTCATAATTGTACTGTAAAGGGTGATAAATAAAAATAAATAGCAAATTAGAAATTGCCAGATGACAGAATCTTATAGTATTTACAACTATATAAGAAACATATTTGTGGATCTATGGTAGACTCAAGATATTAGCTCTGCCAGTAATTGCCCTTCTCCAACCTTTTTTTGGGGGTTGCCTGAACAAATTGCATAGAGCCAAACACAAAGTTAAAGTACGTGGAGTAAAAACCTGGCATATATATATATATATATAGCTACACAAAAGATGCTGACTACTACACTATATACTTGATATATATGTCTCATCTATACATATAGTACTAGCTAGTTAAGGTGCATTTGCAGTAAACCAGCGGTGTACATTTTCAAATTTCAAACATCCTAGGCTGAGATGCTTTCCTGTTGTGGGTATGGAACCTCCATGTGAATAGGTAGTCCTTTGACTGACATGATAATCTGATCACATCACAGAAAGCTTTGACTGAGCTCTTCCTCCCTTCACTTCCCCACTCAATCCTCGCCCAGCATGAAAACCCGTTTGATTTAACTGGCACCTTCGAATCAGATAGATGAAGCATCACTTCTCCACAGATTCTCTTGCATGAGTTGCCTGCGGCTCTTCCTTTACCTGTTACCATAGAATCGAGCCATGGACATTCTGGTTGACCCACCATCTCTTTATAAGCAGAATTTGCTAGTCTGACTTTATTGTTTGAGTCAGATATCACTGCTGGCAAGGCCTCGGACTCAACATCTTCTTCAACCTCCTCTGGTTTCTTTGGAACTTGCATTGGTGAGGTTAGGCTTGGATCCTCATTGATGCATCCAACACAGATGCTGGAGCCCACTGGTCGAATTGGCTGAGGTGCTATGACGCTGCTGATGGGAGGACCTTGGAAGTGCATCAACAGATCCTTCTCTTCCGGAATTTCAGCAACTTTGTTCAAATCTATCACCTTTTCTCCTCCACAAGGTTCCATGCAATTGACTGCAGGTACTGTTGCCTTGTTGGCACGAACAGGAACCGAGGGAGGACATGGAAGGAGGGGAAGTGTCACCAAATTTGCTGGTGGTGTAGAAGAACTCTCCAAGCCTCCACCAGTGGTTACAAAATTAGGTACAGAAGGCTGAGGAATCCCATGAGAAAAACCTTGCAAAGAGAGGTTTTTAGCAGGCGATGTTACAGGACTAGGTGAAGAAAGCCCTAGGACATGGGTCCTTGCTCTCTTGAGTGTTGGCGGTGATAAAGCAGCTCTACCTCTCTTTCTAGTCCTAGTAGGCCTAGCCTGAAGCTGAGGCCACAAATTCCTCAGATAAGGAGACTGCCTGATCTTCTGAGACATTGCTGAGCTCTCATTCATGGAGTTTGCAGGCACCTCAGGCTTCGGCGCTATAGGCCTGTACCTGGACATAATTTCAGCTGTTTTAGCTGTGGAGTAAGGATTTAACGTCTTAATCATGGTGCCTTCTTCCTCTCAATTTTCACACCCCAAATTGAACCCACTGCTGTTGTGAAAGATCTCTTAATGAAGAGTATGTCTCAACACACAAGGCAGAAGGAGAAGAAGAAGAAAAGGGGTTACAAAATAAGTAATTGAAGGGGTGATAGGCTTTTGAGGGGGTAGTTTTAAAGAGCAGAAATCAGCCGATGAGTGCCAGGCAACATGAAACAAAGAGACAGGAGACTTTGACATTTGGATATTGAATGATAGTACGTGTTTGAGGGGCTTAGAAGATACGGACATGTGGGATTTACAGTAGCAAGTGGGTCCATGCATGCCAACACATCATACTTCGAAGTTCACCCGAAACTCAAAGCACTAGGCGAGCAAAATTTTTGACAGGCGAGCCTTAGAATTCGATCCCAGACTCAACTTGAACCGCTCTTAGACCAATAAAAATCGCCCTCTGGTTACAACGTGTGTGGCGTTGGCGGCCATGCGTGGCTACACCTATCAGGATTGGTTTGGCCGTTTTATGTCTTTGCCCCTTCCATTTTACGACACTCCCATTTTGGCTTTTGGTTTCGGTCGGTTAATTTTGGCGGTCGTCCACGTGTTAGCTGGTCTTGTCCTATTGCATGCAACGGATGATTTGGAATCTGATTGGAGGGGTTGAAAGCCTTGGGATGTTAAACTATCACTACAAAAACCAGAGGGGTTCATTCCAGGTGGCTGATTGTTCAAGAGTTTCGATAAAACGTGGTCTTTGCGTTGTCAAGCATGCTCTCTTTATGTTTATTTTTTCCAGTTAGCGGTGCTTTTGCCGCTTGCCACGTTAAGGAATTTGAGCTTCCTGAGAGGTCCGGTCATGGAGATCATAGAATCATGTTTCTCTCGAACTGATAATGATCATCAGACCCATTAGCCAAGTGACAGCTTTTCTTGGTTATCAAGCAAAGAATAGGATTGCGTTTCCTATTTCTGAATTTGTTGCTAAAACCAAATTATTTACCAAAATGAAATTGAGGATGTCGGAACAACAATGCTATTTATAGTAATAAATTTATATTAAATCAATGGTCGACAACTAAAGTGATGATTTTAAATTGCACGAAAATAATTATCTATTGCGTTGTTCGACTTATTATTTGTATTTCCTATCCGATGTTAATACGCTCCTATACACCAAAAAAAATATCTTGACAAATTGGTCAGAACTAGAAGAACCTTTTTTTTTTTTTTTTTTTGCTAAAATACAGAGCCGTTTTAAACTTTGAAACTGGACAATGGGCCAGTGATTACTGGTCACACACTCAAAGTCAAAGGTATAAAATTGGGCGAAGTACAGCCCCTATGGGCTTCGTTGACAAGCCCAAAAAGAAATAAAGTGGAGGGCCAGAGCGGAGAGACAAGATTTGACCCAAATATCACCTTTTCCAGATTTAGGCCCCAACAAAAGTTGCAACTCCGTAATTAGTGACAAATTTGATGTTCCCAAAATAAAAAAGGTCGCTAGTTAAAGCAACCTTAAGTGTCCTGCCACCCCCCTCATTGAGTTGTTTTCCTTTCTCAGCAAGTAAATGAAATCAAAATCGTTTTCTCTAATTTCTCTTTGTTTATAAATTTGGCTTGAATTTCTTTTATCTTCTTCTCTGTTGCGATCATTTTTTGTTTCAATGGAGGAGTCTGAGAAAATCATCGGTAAAAAAAAGTTGCCTTCCATTCCTTCAAATTACGTTACTCTTCTTCAATTGCAAGAACGATGGATTAAAGAGCAAGAGCGAAAGCGGAAGGAAAAGGAAAAGGAAGAGCCGCAACAACAAGAAGAGAAGGAAACAAAAGTTGAAGAGCGAGTTAATGACGAGGTAGCTGGAAGAGGAAGTCGTGAAAAGGGGTATTTTCGACGATATGATCGGGACAATGGGAAGCGTGTTGCTGAAAAACGCGAGGAAGAGGGAACCGCGGCGACTTTTACGGTTAATAAAAATGAGGATGCCGAGAAGGGGAAGAATGGCGGGGAATTGAAGAATGAGAAGAAGAAAGAGAAGAAGCAGTGGAAAAAGAAGAAAAAGAACAAGAAGGAAGAGAAAGCTAGGGTTGAAAATCAAGGGGAGGAAGTGGTTGGACCTGCTGTGAACGCACCACTGCCTGCGAGTGTGGAGAATAATAAGGGGAAGGAGGTGGTGATCGGAGATGAAGTCCACGCGCCGAAGCAAGCCAGTGTACCGATTCCTAGAACGGATGTTCGTACGGTGGAGATTGAACGGAAATTTAGAGCAATGTCAATGAAAGGTGAGATTAGAAAAGGGGATTATGGTAGACACGGATTGCAAAAAGGAAATTTCAAACACTTCGGCGGCAATAGGGAGCCGAATAAGACATACTATTATTATGGGAAGTTTGAGAGGCGTAGAGAGCAGAATCAGAGAAATGAAGGGATGGTTTGGGTTAAGAAAGAGGAAGTTGGTGATGGACATGTTGGTGGAATTCAAAGCTCGCGTTGCTCGTCCAAGTAATTAGATTGATGTGGTTTTAATGTGGTAATTACTGATGAACCTTCTTATTTCTTTGTTAACAATTTCTGATGAAATACAAAGTTCTGTCCTGTATCTGCTTTCATTGTCATACGAATGGTGAAGGATTGTATAAACTAGTCAATGGTTTGCTAAGGTGTGGCCCTCCGCTGATGTAAAATCCTCCGAGGGCCTTAATTTAAAGCCTTTGTATAGCACTAATTTCCCATCTTTTAGGTAATTGAATGATGTCTAAGATTAGGGACCAATAGATTGCCATTCTTTGGGTCACAGTAAAGGATCCTGGGTTGTGAACTATGGAAAGGATTATGTGGATTATGTAGGGCAGAAAAAGCAAATGGAATGACTGGTACATGACATGATATTTTTGATCAAATAGCGAAGATCAATAATACATGACACTTATTGGAAAAAGTAAGGTTTGTAGCAAGAGCATCCCTTTAACCTTTTTAGTGAATATTTCAGCCGACAAGCATAAGCAGCTAAACATTAGTGACCAAGAAGCCATTAGAGATGATCTGTGTTAGAAATGTTAAGAATCAATAGGAAAATTGCATTTTTGGTTCTGGAAGCTTATTTTGTTGTTTTTACTTTTGACGTTAAACTATTCATTTGTATTTTATGATGTTAAAACTAAAGCACCTCTCTTTCCTTCCTTGTTTTCTAAACTTGTGATAACGTCAATGAACCTTCACCTCAAGGCAATGGGCTTGATTCCTTGACTGATAAAGTATTACCGTTACTTTATCAGTACTGTTCAAGCTACTTATCAGTTGTGTTACATATAATTATTTATGTTTAAGGTTTATTATCGTATAGGAATAAGATCCTTGAAAGTTCTCTTTTTTGGGCTCTCTCGAGAATTTGATGTTCAGTTTTATCTGTCCTGTGTATGTTGTTTATCTTGGATGAGGTAAAAAATGGATAACTAGTTGAAGTTGGAAATCATGGTGTAGAAAATGTAAAATTCCATTACCTAGGTTATAAAGGCTGCGCTGCCTTTTTTTTTTTTTTTTTTTTCAAAGTATTATTCTAACACTTAGGGTAGTGGGATGTATAAGAAGGGTTGTTGACTGTAATGGCATTAAAGGGCGAACCTATACAGGCGATGTTGGTTATATTGCAACTTAGGGAGGGCCTACGAGAGAGTTGATTGGAGTTGCAGTGAGCCAATGCTGTGGAGATGTAGTAACATTTTAGGTTAGCAAGACTTAGAAATGTAGCATGGCCAAATTAGCTAAGTAAGCGGATGCCTGTTCCTAAGAACAGGCCCTTTTGTTGTAAATCTAAAATCCGTTTGGATGTGCCAATTAACTTTAATATGCCAAACCATATATTGTAAAAAAAAAAAAAGGTTGTGCACTAAATGGATGGCATTAATTCAAGGGAGAACGTGTAATGGAGATGTTGGTCATGTAGCAGAGCTAGGGAAGGGACTAGATATATAATGGCCAATTCTTTCCCGTTTGTTTTTCTGAAAAAATTGTCGTAAGTCCATCTCAACGAGTGGATGGAACACAAGCATTCATCTTTTAAAAAGAAAATATAAGTTAATTTGAACTTACCTATTTCTTAATATGCCTTGGACTCGATTTTACAAATGCAAATTGTTTAGCCCCAAATTTGACCATTAGTTATATAAACTGTCAAAAAAGCAAAATCAAAATAAGAACTTTTGACGATAGTAGAGAGGAATGAGGTAAAAGAAAATTACATATATTGAGTACTAAAAGAAAATAGAAAATTAAAATAAACAATGCACTAGAAAAGGGAGTTATCATAAGTTTGAGAAGCCCTCATCGCTTACTCCAAGCACCATTCCTAATCTTGCCAAAACCCATCTACGACTTGGGTTGAACACTCTCAACGTCTGAAAATGGAGAATTATTATGATCATATTTCTTGCTAATTTCATCAAGAGTACCTAATGGAAACCAAGTAGCCAAGACAAGGGAAATAGCGAAAACCAAGGAATAAAGAATAACTTGGACCAGTGCAAGCAGTGGATCAGGTTTTGGTTCCTTCAAAATCTTTCCCCTAATCACTATTTAGCTGCCTCCAGAGCAATGGCACCAAGATCCAACACAAGATCCATGCCATAGCGGTAAAGCAAACAGGAAATGATCTAGTTTCTACGTACCCTTTTGCACCCCTCGGGGAGTGAACCGCGTGTGCAAGAAAGACAAACCCACCAAAATTGCAGTGGGAAGAAATAAACCCAAGTCAATGCCATAAAAAAAACTTTGTTTGAGATTGGTTCTGTCCTGGATGCTTCTCTTCCATTTTGAGCGCTTTAATATGCCAAACCACATTTCACCAAAGGCTACGGACAATACGAAGAAAGCACTATGTAGTTTAAAGCTAGTCCAACCGCAAGAGGTGCTTTTTCATACCTCAATTTCATTATTTTTGCAATTAACCTGAAAATATATTCGTACCAGTAAAAATATATTATAGGTGTTTAATAGAATCAGTTTTATTTTATTTTAACGTAAGGAGAGCAACAGGTTAAGGAATATCACTATTTGCAGCATAGAATTAATTAAAGAAACAATCAGTGTCTCAAATCATTGTGGAATTAATATTAGATAATAATCATATCTCTAAGTATTCATATCCGTTCTTAAATGATTATTAAAAGTAGCAAATTCAAAACAATGAAAAAACTTGTAAATCCTAATTGAAGTAAAGTAACTAAAAAACAATGAAAAACATACCTGGTGAGTGGTAACAGGAAAGAAAACACACACAGTCACTATTAATAAAGGTGTAGATCACTGTTGAAACTTGAAACCTCTTCTTATCTATTTTCCCGCTTGATACTCTGATTAAGTTATAACTGCAATCTTGGAATTTGTCAGCAACCCAATATATGTTTAGTATTTTTTTATTTGATGTAAAACTGAAATATTTTGTATATTTCATTAAAGTATTTGATGTAACATTTTTTTTTTATCTCGTCTCGGGATGCTTTCGTCATAATGGGTTTGGCATAGAGTCGTGTCATGATTATTATTTTATCTTCTCTCTTTTGGAATGATTGATATAATCAAATTTTACATCACATTTTACTCTAACATTTTATTAAATGATCAAATTAATTATCTTATTTATCTTATTGAGACACTTAATGTAAAATTGATTAAATTAAGATTGATTTTGATATTATTTATAACATAATCATTATTTTTTTTATAAAATTAATTTATTAGAGTATATAATGCCAACTTTATATGATAGACTAACGAGCTTTTCAAATTAAAGCCAACTTCATATGATAGACTACCGACCGTTTCAAATTAAGGCACTGTATCTATTCCTTTATATGATATGACTAACTTGGGCTTGGACTCAGTGCGTGGATCGTCATATGCTCATTTGCTAGCCTCTAATCTCCGGTGCTTATTAACTTCTTCACAATTTCATCCAATGTAGTTCTTATGTTCCTCTCTGACTATATTTCTCCCTGAAATTTCTTCAACTTGAAACCCATATGGTTACCAAGAATTCCAAGTGAACAACCGTACCATTGTTTGAGGAGGTTGATATGTTGGCCAATCAAAGCCCATAATATTATAAAGATTAGAATACAGAGATCATCAAAGCCTTTGGCCAAAATATTACAGAGGCTCTCATGTGGGTTGTTTCCTAGCCATTATTCACTTTTTTATTTTTATTTTTGCTCTAACTCAATTTCTAACTCGTTTATAGTCTTTGGCCTGAGTGTTTTTTGTTTCATTACTGATCCAAATTTTTTGGAGTTAAAATTCATTAACGGATGAGGGAAAGTTGGTAAAAAATAGTCACTAATTTCTCAGTACACTTGCTGGAGTATGAATTCAAATATTAAGATCCTTTGTCTTTCAAGACTTGGTCTAAAGGGGAAGTCATGTGTTAATGGGCTGTTGTTTTTTTTCGCTTCTTTGGTTTAAATTGTTTTCAGGCTAGTGTTACAGTCCCTTGACTGTGTTTTTAAAATTTCTAGCCAAGCGTTTCTTCCCTAAAACCTATGTCTATAGGTTGTTTGCTTGATTGTGTCAATGGAACTTGTATTAGAATTTTTTTCAATTTGCTTATTACTTAAGTCCAATTTGCTTATTTTTTCAATTCTCTGGACATGATGTTTTGGTACCATATCATATTTTGACATACTTCGACTTAATCTTTTATAGTTATCCTGAATCAATGATCCAACCACTTAAAAGTGCTTCTTTATTCATGTGGAGTCATTGATTTTTTTTTTGCTCAGCCAAAAAATTGGATTTCATTAATAATGAGACTTATTACTTTCCAGTTCATCTCTGTATAAAACAGAGTAAAAGTGAACTAAGCAGCAAACGCCAAATCACATAACATCAGCCATCAAAAAACATTCAATTACATTACAGCCAAGCATGAAAGAGATGAGAACAATCCACTCCCATTTTTTCAAGATATGAAGCAAATCCACCATTCCGATAACCTTTCTGAGACTGTCAATTTCTTCAAAAATCTTCCAATGCAGAGATTCGCTATTAGATATCCAGCCTTCGTAAGACAAAATAAAAAGATGATGTGGATTATTATCAGCCATATACATTAGTCTTTGTAAAATCGTTGGAGAGATCTCTCCCTCAAATTTTATGAAAACGAGACCATCCAAAATTGATAAAGATTATTACAAGCAGAGACAACGAAAACGACAAGATGAGATATTAGTTTAAGGCAGACCGAACAAATAGATGAATAATGTATACCTCACTACAGGTTTGGAATATTATGGTAGGGCACTCTTCCACCCAATATTTGTTTTCTAAACTCACAAACGCATATTTGACTAACAGATGAAAGGCCATGTTGCCCTCCCTCAGCGCATGTGAAACATGACTGACTTGAAAATGCCGCATCATTGCCCGTGCTTCCTATCTGAACAGACCTGCAGGTCATAAATCCAGTTGACCTGATCTCAACTGCTTTATGCATGCGCTTAGCGTGTATGATTTTCATAAAGCCCATATCTTTTGCCATTTTCATAAAGCAATACCTCTGCTTGGAAAGGATCACTGCCATAGCAGAAAAACTTACGATCAAGCTCAAGTGTTCAAAACTAAAAAGGACAAAATTTGCTTCAGAATGTTGAAGCAGGCCAAGTGTCATGAGCCACCCTTGTATAGGGCCATGATCGGGATTTAAGTTGCCATGAGCCACCCATGTATAGGGCCATGGTAAGGTAGATCCCTTGTGCTAGGAAAAGTGTCCCCATTTCAAACATTGTAACGGTTACTGGTAGCATAGCTCTAAAAGTTCTAAGGCTCTTTAGGGGGTGAGCCGGTAGCGTAGTGTTGGGCTGTCTCACCGGGTGCTATGCGAGCTTAGGCCACCCAACAAGGGCTGCCCCCCTGGCCCTGGTGATGGTGGGAAGTCCCAATGTATGATTCCCGTTTATAATAAAATTCACCCCGATTGTTGCCTCGATGCGTTTCTTTCTTTCTCGATGTGAATGTGCCTTGTTGTGTGTGTATGCTTGAGATTGACCTCGATATATTGTGCCTTATTGTGAATGCTTGAGACTAACCATGGTTTATGGTTATTTGTTCAAATATCAATCTATTAAAGGCTGACTTGGGTGGAAGCATCCATTCAAGTGCCGCACGGGCTAGTGCTTGTTGAGAGAAAGCTTAGTCCGTGACACGTGGTATCAGAGCACGGTTGAGAAGTGCTAGAAAAATGGATGAGATGGCCACAAGTGGTGGACCGGATCATCAACAGAGAATTGAGGAACTTGAGACCACGGTGGCCGCAATGAAAACTCATATGATGACGAAAGATCGAGTGAGAAAGATCGAGACAACCCAGCGAGAGTTGTCCGATACTCTCCACAATGTGAGCGAAGAGGCTAGAGATGCCTTGAACATTCTTCAAAAGGAGTTTGAGGAGCTCAGGGCCCAATTGAGCATCCTACAAATGGTTGTGGCCAGATCGAGTTCAAGCTCGATAGACAGGGGACAAAGGC